AGGTGTCCACGGGGGGTTTCGTGAAGTTTGGGTATCATCGAATCAGGATCCAACTAGTTGTTGCGGGTTCAGATTGGGGTTCACATAGTGTCTCCGAAGCGCTTTCAATCTTGTTCATGAGCTTGGGGTCTGGCTTGCAGCAAGCTTTTTTCCTGCTCTCATTTTTTCAAGTTTCGAGGTCTGATCCAGTGTGTGTGTGTGTGCGCGTTTACGTTTAGGAGGGTTCAGGTTTGGGGTTTAGTGGCGACCAGCTTGAAGCTGGCAAAACTGCAGGCGTTCCTCGTAGTCTTCCTTAGGCCTTGCTCATTGTAACTATACTACTTACTACAGCATAGCCTGGCATAGCCGTGCTAGGTGGGTGACAAAAACTACAGCATAGCCTGAAGCCCTCTTCCAAGTCTCATCAGCCTCTGTATTACACGGCACCTGGACCCCAACAGCCTTTGAGCACAGAAGACTGGAGCCAGGCCTGCGCAAGGGCACGTCCCAGGCCCAAAGTTTGGCCGTGAGGTGCGGCAGGGAGTGTACGTAGAGGCTCCATAGTAGTTCCTTTTTCGGGGTTTATGTTTAGAATCCGTTAAGGCTTTCCAAAAAAGGAACTGCTATGGAGCCCATGGGTAGAGGTCTGAATACATGGGAGTAGTATTCACTTCCTAAGTCCATGGCCCCTGCATGATTCAGTCTACGATAATATACCCGAAGCCTTTTTCGAAAGATTCATTTCTCGATGGCGGGGAGGGTTGCAACTAATCGTGCCCCCCTGAGGGGCCTATTGCAGGCATCCTGCTATCTATGATCTATGATCGGAGTTCTCCAGTTTCGGACAATCACATATATCACTGGACAAGAGAAGAACGGCATGGACAAGTGATCACAGCAGAGACAACATTCCAATTGTTGTTTTCTTGTTGTTGATGTTGGGGGTAGTTTAGCCATAACAGTAGCTGTGGCATTAGCAGATAGCCTCAGCACTAGAAACAGCAGTAGCAGTGGTAGCAGTAGCAGCCGCAGCAGTCCCCGTCACCATCGTAGTCGTCGTAGCAGTAGCACCATGACGAGGGAGTCTCGTCTCAAGCACTCATCGCGGACCCGTCGAATGCAGAGACTGGAAGGCTCGTGTTTGTAGTTGCTTCATCACGATACCTCGATCACTGCTCCGCTTGACCCGCGTGACGCCACATTTTGATGTTAAATCCGGCCCGTCTGTCAGGGCGCAAAGGACCTTGCAGCAAGCCTTGTCAAAGTGGGCGGCGCCACCGTCCGCGAAGAGCTTGGAGAGCACATGAATGTTCGGCATAAACGAACCCTTGCGGCCAGGATCCTGCTGATTCTTCTCCATGGTGTAGGGTCTATACTACCTTTGGACCAGATGCTTCATTTATAGCAAATTCTCATAAAACGGGTAGTGTAGCCCCACCAAGAGCCAGCCAACTAGATACGTCAGGGTCCTGGGTCCGAGGCCTGTTGAATTTCGCCTTAAAGGTTCATGCGCTTCTTGGAAGTAGGGCAGAACCCAGCACGTCTTGGATGATAAGCTGCGTTGCAGGTGCAAGGAAAACATGACTGAGATGGGTGGCTTTTCAATAATGTTGATGTTCGGGGTTAAGGGTTAGGTTTTTAAGCTGAGGCCGTTCCTTTGGAGCTGAAGCGTGCGGGACCTATTTCCGGCAGTGGGTATTGCAGATCCTGTGTTCGAAAGCACCCTCCTGACGGAACATATCAGAAACTGAGTCAAGCAGTGGGATTTCTGGTGGCAAAAGGGTTCGATTGGCGGGAGCTGCAAAGTCTGAATGAGAGACCCGGGCAGTGACTCGTTTCACCTTGGGAGCCAAGTCCACGCTGCGTTTCTTGTAAATTGGGCACGAGTTGCTGTGACATGCAGCTGGCCAGAGCTGTAACTGTAGCAAGCATTGATATGGAAGTTTCCGAAAATAGGGGGCCCTAATCTAGAGAGAGAAATAGTAGGATCCTGATTATAACGACCCCAAAATAAGGTGCCCCTAAGCACTTGGTTTTCCGAGGCCACTGCAGGGCATGAGAAGCCAAGGAGCGAAAAGCAAGTTGGTAGGGGTGGGTTTCTGTATGCTACCTTACAAGGGGCCACCACCCTGTAATAGTGGTATAATAGGAATATAATAGGGCCCCAATATATAATCTTTATAGTCACTATTACAGGGTTTAGGGGGCCGCTTCTAAATACTACCAGACTTTTGGTTCGGAGCCTCAGGGCGAAGAAAGGCTGGCACTGAAGAGCATGCCTGCACCATGAAACGGTAGAGCACTGTAGCTGTGTGTATTAGCAACGCTTTCTGAGCCTGTCATCTGATGCCCTAATATACAGGGGCAGTTAGAGCAGACTTTTGGGGTCTATCATAGAAAATATTTTAATTTGGAACCTTCAGGAATACTATTCTAGCGACTACGGTCACGAGCCGTGTGCAGCTTAAGGTGATGTCTTCAGGGCGTGGTCAGCTTCGGCGCGGGGCGGTCGTCCTGGCCTTGTCTTGACCCTGTCGGGAGGGAAATCAAGGGGCCCAATTGCATTCCCGGAGAGGGGTTCACCACCACCACCACCACCACCACCACGACTACTATTACTACTACTACTACTACTACTACTACTACTACTACTACTACAACTACTAGTATGATTCTGGTGATGATTATGATACTGTTTTTACTGGTGGCCCTGTGATAAAGGCTTTAGAAGCAGGGCTTTAGATGGGCTCCTATCATTATGAGACCTGTATCGGGCGTTGGCCAGGATCTTGTGAGGTTTTCTGACGAGCCCAAACTACCCCTTCCTTTACTTGCCGGGCTTTTTGGTAAAGAGGGTTGGAGGAAGGGGGCTCCTTCCTGGGGCTCCTTCTCTGCATGCGGTTTACGAGGACAAGGAATGCAGCATGGGTCTTGGACGACAGCAAGAGAAGAGTATTTCTCCATGTCGTCAAACTTTCATTTTTAAATCGAAAACTCAAGGCCTCAGGGCCCAAAGTATAAAGATATTACCTGATGCTGTGGTGCCGAAAGTCTGGAAACAGTGCCTAGTTCGGCTTATCTTGAGTTGCCAGGAGATGTCCGGCAGGAGAAACTCGAGAGGGAGCTCCGTGGCGGCAGCAGACGTCATAGCAGCCAGAATGGTAGCATTGAGTCCTTTTGAATGCTGTTGTTTGCAGGTTGTTAAACGTGCTCTTGAATACGGGGGTTACGGCGTCTGCGCAGCTGAGCAGGGAACCATTAGCCTTCTTGGGCCTTTACTTCCTCCCTAGTTGAGAGTTCTTCAGCGGGCCAGGGAACTCAGCAACTGGGTCACAGGATATCTCTGGGGTTACTGAAGTGAAAGCCATCTTTGATTCATGATGTCCAACAAAAGTGTTGATTGCTTTCAGCATCTTCATGAACATCGGTTGGCCTGTCGTCAAAACGCGCATTGCCATTTTCGAGTTTCGTGCATAGGCGGGCGTGAAGTACGGAGATTTGTGCATCAGGGGCTGCATAAGGCCTGATGCCTAGAAAGCTGCGCGGAGCGCGGAAACAGCGCAGTAGCCGACGTGTTAGGCGTTCGGGCATATGCGTAGTCCAGGTGTAAAAGTGCCGAATTTGACCGTTTCATCTCCATGTGATGAGACAGAAAGTGATGAAGAGCCAATAAAGAGTACCTCCAGTGTCGCCCAGCAACAAATAAAGATGATACTACATGCACTCGCACGCAGGAACACTGGCAACACTTAGTAATGTAGCAGACCATGATGGTATCAAGATTTAGCAGTAGCAGAATCACGACAGAAATGTCCACCAAAGCGCATCAAGGATAAGAGCTACTCCGGCCCCTGTTTAACAGTTTCAGCTGGTTGCAATCCCCGACATTTGATTGAAGCATTTACGGTTGAAGGCTGTAGGGCTCACAACCGCTTGCCAAACGCCTAATGTGTGGTCTTCGATGTTGCAGTCAGGGCGCATGTCGAATCAGAGCAGCCAGCGTCAGGTTCAAGAAGCGCTTGGGCAAGCCTTGCTGCCACACTTATCTTGTGGGGGGAATCTCAAGAGAAATTGACCTTCCTGTTCGGGATTGGTTCTATGTTGAAGTCGAGATTGAGACCACGCCGGAGAGTTTCTGGAAGGCGGGGCATCGCTAGGTAGCCAAGTAAGAGGGTCTTCTGCACAAGTAACCGCAACTGTCGGAGGCTTCATGTCAAAAACAAGTCCCTGCCAGAACATGCTCAAAACCATTCGGACGAGGTCCCGCCCGGGCCTACACAGCCGAACACCCCGAGAGTTTTGACTGCAGGTCCCTGATTCGGAACAAGGCTTGGTTCACATCTAGTTAGAATACCTAACACCAAATCGCAGCTAAGCCCTGCAATCCTGACTTGCGCACCTCGTGCTACACCGGGTAAGGGATTCCGAGAGCAAACGGGTTTTTGCAGTGCTATCAGGGCTTTACAAGGTCGGGTTTTATTCTTTTGGCATTTGAGGGTTTGGGGTTTAGAGACCGGGGATATAGGGATTTAGGGTTTAGTGGCTGTGTGTCATGCGTTATCGGGCGAGTAGGCAGGTGTTACCATCTAGCAAGGCATGATCAGTTCCACCTGCCGTTTAAGGAGCGTACTGCATCTCACATTGTATAAGGATCCGTCCCGCTACAGTTTAAGGCGGGCAGCTATCTTATAAAGGTGTAAATACAGCCCAAAGCTCGGACGAAGTCTTTCTCCCGATGCTTTGGCTCAGGCAGCTGTCTGTATGACTCGTAGGAGAACTGGGTGGTGTTTGGATCCCATACTCCCCCGTGATCTGGTAGTCTCAGAGGTCAAGGAAACCACCAATACAGCACCTACCTAAAAATAGTAGGATCCTGATCCTAAGGAACCACAAATTGAATTCCTGAAACTACCATGCTTTCTGCAAGCATCGCGACCGTGCCAGCATATACCGAGGCTGGGTTTAGTGCTTAGGAACTTGAGTTTGGAGGTTTTCGGTTAGAGACGCAGCTCGCCGCAGCCATGCCCGCGCTTTCCCGCTTGGTGCCATTTGGGCCCGCCTACAGGGATGAAAGCCGACTGTTGATGCAGGCTCTTACTTTACTTGATGTGGTTTAGGGTTTGAGGCTATGGGTTAATGTAGACCCTGAAGGATAAACGTCTCTCCCTTAATGCGGGCTTCGGTATCTATACTAATGCTTGTGGTGCCAGGATTTGTGATCGAACGGGGGCCCAAGGGTTGAGGACGTAACTTACTACATATCCTTTCACTGTTATGGAGCTTCTACGGCCCTGACATAACTCGTTTCAGCAACTCGGTGATCTACTTAGGGGTAATGGAACCCAAGCGCAAGTTGTTCCTTAAAATCAGATAGTGAAGTGCAGAAATATGCTATGTATGTTCTAGTACTTTGTACATGTACGTTATAGTATATTGCAATTGTTTCATAGGATATGGACTTCATTTAGTTTTTGAAGATGGCTGCAATCACTGTTCAATGGGCTCCCCATAGCTTCCGCAATAGGAGTTTCAAACAGCTGCAGCTTCATTATCCTGCTGCTTCCTTACAAGCACCAGCCAACAAGTAACAAGAAACTGAGGACTCACATAACTCCGGCAAGGACACGAAGGAAAGCCAAGAAAAAAGCGCTTTCTTCGTTCGAAACCTCCGCTTGAGTTGTTTTGAATTGTTTAAGGATGCTGCCAAGTCAGGGATTAGTAGCATTGGGGGTGTGGGCCCCAGATCTTGGAGCCCTTTTACTTCTGAAAGGCACTTAGACCAAATACGAGCATTTGCATGTTCTTGAAATTCTTCGTGAACGGATTGGGCGTTAAGGGTAAAGGCGCTGTGAAACGTTCCTGTCATGTCCTGAGGAGGAGACGGTGGTGGAAGAGACGTGCCAGGCAGTCTCCGAGGGGGAGGGCCCAGGGTGCGCTAAGGCTCCTGTACTGGGAGGTTCATGGGGAGTTATAAGTGGGTTATGAGTAAAGTCACTGTAGTTATAACCCATATCAGGGGACTTATAACCCCACTTATAACTACGCATGAACCTCCAAGTATTACATCGGGAGTCACGATTACCCGTCGTCGGTTCTTCAGTAGTGCTGAAATAATTTTGGGACTCAGCGAGTTGGTTTTGCCTCGGCTGACAAGCATCTTTCTTAAGGGATCGAGGCTGAAGGGCCGCTCAGAAGACCTATGAAAAGGGTCCTCTGAGCCTCCCAAACCAAAAGTTCACCATTACGGCCTTCGTTTCTGCTCTTTTGCAGGTTCAGGGCCTTAGAAGGTAGGCAGCCTAGCCCGCACAGTTCAGCCCAAGGTTCCTTAATCAGGTGCCTACATTTCCCTTATAGTACCCTTATAGATCCCTTATAGTAACCCTTATAGAACCCTTATAGATCCCAAAATCGTAGCCCTTATAGATCCCTTATAGTAACCCTTGTAGGTCCCTTAGAGCACGAGCACCCTTGAAAGTTATACCCCAAACACGACACCTGCTCAAGTCTCGGAGGCAGGGCCGCAGCGCTTCGCGCTGCTCCTGGTGCTCCTGGGGCTCGCCGCCGTCGGATTGGGGTACGTCGGCCAGGACTGGGCCGTTTCTTCGGTTCTATACCTTAGCCTACCTTTATAGGGACCAGCTCTGTTTTGTAGGTTTTGGTAGGTTAAGGTAGGGTTTTCTGATGAAGCGCTGCTATGAAGATTTTTGATGGACAAGATTCTGGGTTCAGACAGGGTTTGGAGGGCTTTGGGGTTCTATTGCTGTTCAAGAAAGCGTCTTGCAAGGATTCGGAAAGTTCGTGATCGCATAAGGGTCTTAACAGGGGTGGTTAGGTTTCATGGAGTGTGGTGTTTGAGGGTGTACTTGGAGGCTCATTTACAGTGATAAGTGGGGTTACAAGTAGGGTAAATTAGTTATAGCCCGTGTTAGGGGACCTAGAACACTACTTATAAGTACGCCTGAACCCTAGAGAACCCTTCAAGGATCCAATAACCCCACTTATAACTACCCATGAACCTCCAAGTAAGGTTTCATAATGGGGAGGCTCTGGGCTCTTCGGGGCCCTGGCTGGATGCTGTTGCGGCCTGGAGCATTGTGGTGGGAGTTTCCGAAAATAGGGGACCCTAAAACAAGCACCCTCCATAGTAGGATCCTTATTCTAAGGACCCCAAAATACGGTACCCCTAATTTTCGGAAATTTTTTAGGTTTAGTGTTTAGCGCTGCCTGAGTGTCGAGGACTCGCATTTGGCGGAGCCTGACGACGGAATCATCGAGAAGGCCTGGGCATGAGGGATGGTTGCAGCCTGGGCTGACACCTTTAGAATGCAAGGCTGACAGACGTCTGGAGGGTGGGCTGTTGTCCGGCCCACCGAAGCTTCTTGCAAAGGGGTTGCGCCTGTGACCTCCATGCCAGCACGCCTCCCTGCATGCATGCGTGCTTAAACGCACATATGGATGCATGCGTGCATGCAGACAGGCACGTGCATGCATACATGCATGCATACACACATGCATACACACATGCACACCTACTTGTACCTACCTACAGCCTACATGCCTACGACATGCCTGCATGCATACTGACAGAGAGACATGGACAGAAACAGCGACAGCGAAAGCGAGACAGAGGCAGACACGCGCATGCGTACCTGCAGACACGTGCACACAGGTACTGAAAAAGGCTACGCTAGTTCTTTCTGGTTCAGGGCCCTTCAGGAAACCTTTGAGGCGATGCCGGGGAGGTTTGGAGGATTTCCTCGGCTGGCCCGTCCCTGTGCACTAACGACCTTCCTCCCCGAGCACAGGGATCCTTGCGCTGGGGATGTTAATATGGGAGTTTCCGAAAATTAGGGGTACCTTATTTTGGGGCTCCATGTAATACGAACCCTACTATTTAGGGTACCATATTGAGGTCACCTATTTACGGAAACGCCCATATGAAAAGCATGGGCCTTGGAGGAAGCGGGTTTGTTGTCCCATATATGGTCAGGCGTCTGGCGTTCCCAGCCCCCCCCCCCCAATGGTATGGTCTGACAGGGGTGGGGGGGGGGCCCTGGCGTGTGCGGAAAAGGGTTGGGGCCGTTGGAGCTGCCGCTGGATGGTGGGGCGGTGCTGGCTTCCAGGGCTCACGCGGGCCCTTCGCAAGCAAGCCGTAAACCCTATGACGCAGCCCGTGCCCCGATTTTGAGCAACCTTAACTTGTACTTAAAACGCTACACCCAACCCTAAACCCCACCTACCTGCAGGCTCTAAGCCTAAAGCAGAGCATACACCGCAAATCCTCCTTAAGCCCTTGTCGACTCGAAGCCTTATACCTTGTAGCCGTAAACCCAAAACTCAAAAGCTTAAGCTAAACCCCAAACCCCAAAACCCCACAACCACCCACAGGGGGAGGAACCCCACACCCCACACCACAGGGGAGGGGGGGGGCCCCACCCTGTATCCGGACCATTGACCTTTGGGGGGGGAGGGGGGGGGGGCGGCGGAGCGCGTGACCATATATGATGCAGGGCTGCCACACCCCCCCTCCCCCCCCCACCCCATGGTATCCTCCCCCCTTCCCCCCCGCCCCCCCTGTGGTGTGGGGCCTGTGGTGGTACTCTTTTTGCCACGACGTTCTTATGTGTTACTCCTTGTCTTCCCTCTTGTTGTGGCACCGGTGATACTGCTCATGATGTTGTGCTGCTCTAGACCGGGACATGAGTCGACGATCATACCATGCTCAACATCATCCTTGTCGTCGTCATGTTCATCATTGATACCTTCAAAAGAAGATCTGCCACCATCACCATCGCAATACAACCCTCATAATTCAGCATTGCAATTCACGTCAGATGCCGCTTTCCGCACACGGCAGGGCATAGCGCGACACTCCCGATCCGCGCACAAGGTCAAGGGGCAGGCAAGGTGCGGGGCGGGGGCGGCGGGGCGGGCGGGCGTGCAGCAGCAGGGCGGCAGGGGGGGGGGGGTGAAACACTGAATGTTACACATCCAGGTGCCTGTCTGTTTCACGTATCACTTGCATGTATCCATGCCTGTTGCTCAAGGTTCTAGTGCAGTGGACTACAGCTGTGCGCCTGTAGCAAAAGAGACACCTGAGTGCCTGTGTTCCTGTACGCCTAGCGAGGGGATACACGTCCAGGTTACATCTCAACGTGGTAGCGGAGCTCCCGGGAAACGGGAAGCTTCACACTTGTGGAGGTACCCGTTCGGTACTCTCTACACAGGTGGAGGCAACCGGAATACCCGGTGTGCTTCACTCAGGTGAAGGTGACCGGAGTCTCTCCGGCACACTTCACTCAGGTGAAGATAACCGGAAGAGGTTTCTCCCGGGGCTCGATCCAAGAACAGCGCAATGGCTAGCCACTCTGCGACTATCTTTGAGCATGAAGGAGGAGATGATGACTACCTCCTCCACGGAAATGAATCTTTCGCGACTAATCATCGTCATCTCAATGAATTACACCGTCTTTCAGCTTTCCAGCAGGTGACCACAAAAGTACCTCCATCTTATGATGGTAGAAGCAGTTGGTTTGCCTATGAAGATGCGATCGATGACTGGTGTGACATTACTGAGCTAGACAATGATAAGCGTGGACCAGCTTTGAGAAATCGGCTAGAAGGTGAAGCAGCAATCCACAAGAGACTTCTCGACAGAGATCGCCTGAAGGACCCGAACAACGGAGTGAAGTACTTCAAGAGTTTCCTGCGGCCGCTTTTCGTGAAGGGAGCAGCGAATGTTTTTCTCTATCGCTTCCAGCAGTTCATGAACATGCACCGTGGGAACGGAGACATGCTTCGTTGGATTACCAGGTTTCAACTCTCTGTTCAGAGAATGCAAGAAGCGTGGAACGATACCTATCTGCCGATCGAGGACCCGAACAATGCAGAGGTCAGAGCCTTCATAGTAGGACTTCCTCCAGAAGAACAAGAAAACCTTACGCCAGCTCAGGCAATGGAGAGAGCCAACGAACGGCTTAGAGAGCAGCATGCTCGGACCATTCCGATCACGCCCAACCTGGTCGCTTTGATCTTTGTGTCTCTGTCTGATCTGACACAGGATCAGCGTCAGGTGTTGACATCACTGATGGCGCATCGGAACCGAGTCCTGGCTGACTACAACACGGCCGAGCTTCGCGAAGTCTACCTGGAGATCTTCTGTACGACCAAGACTACCGTCGACAATCCACTCCTCGCTCCTTCCGGCCACGGTGGCCGCAAGACCTTCCTTGTGATCGATGAAGGATATTTGAACGATCATGAAGGCTACTGGGTCGAGGACGAGGAAGATGGCACCGAAGGTTTCCTCGAAGCGGATGAGGACGCCTTCTGGGTCTACGACGACGAGAACTATTCATGGTTCCAGCGGCGCTTCCAAGGCCGCAAGATGAGGCGCGGATTCAAGGGCCACCGTAAAGGCAAAGGAAAAGGTGGCAAAGGATCCAAAGGAAGGCGCTTCTTCAAAAGGAAGAAAGGCAGGTCACATCTTGCCGAAGAATCAGAAGCATGGCAAGCAGAAGGACAATGGCAAGATTACCAGTGGAGCGATCAGTCCTGGGATGACTGGTCCTGGTATGAGTCTGAGGAATCCTATGCAGCCAAAGGAAAAGGAAAGAAAGGAAAGAAGGGCAAAGGAAAGAGCAAGTTTGGCAAGGATGGAAAAGATGGAAAGTCCGGAAAAGACGGACAGAGCCAGCTTGCTGATGCTGCCCCGAGCGGCATCACAGCCGCCACAACCTTCTTCGTTGAACATCTCAACACTCCGAACTTTTCTTTCATGGCCACCGAAGAGAAGATCAATGAGATCGAGGAAGCCTTCATCTCTCAGCCCTTGACGCCGACCGCGATGGTGTTGGACCTGGGATGCACGAGAGCAATGGCTTCGAGAGTGGCCGCACAGGACCTCATGGAGTTCTGTGACAAGAACCAGAACTGTGGCATATGGTACACCATTGCTGAGACCACTTCTCAGTTCACCTTTGCCAATTCCGAGTCTACCAAATGCAACCAGAAGTTGGTCATTTGCATGTACGACCGGGACTTTGCAGTTCAATCCACAGAGTTCGACATTGTGGAACAAGGGCATGTTCCCATTCTCATGTCCTTACCTCAGATGCGCAATCTTCGTTTCCAGTTCGAGCTCCATCCGGAAAAGGCCTTACTCAGCAGCCCTGTGCTGGGAATCAAGGATGTGAGGCTGAAGGTTGCACCCAGCTCACACTTGGTACTTGATCTTCTTGAACTCAGTCAGCTGATGTGGAATGTGCGTTTCAGCAAGCATAAGAAGTCGAGCTTCCTCACCTACTTCTCCCACTACGAGTACGGCTTCCATCAGAAGACCGAGGGATGCTGTTCTCATGAACAGGTACCTGACAATCTCGTGTTGGCGACTGATGATGAATGGGTGATCAACGAAGCCGACATGGAAATGATTCGCATCCACAAGAAGATGAGAAGAGTCAAGTACGAACCCAAGGCGGGTTATGTGCCAATTCCGTTGGAGTATCTGGACACCAAGCGCAAGACGATCATGGAGTTCTCCAAGGGAAAGAGCGTTACTCAAGAAGATGACTGGCGTTCTTCTGAGCTTTCTTCAACAAGAACTACTGACTCTTGGAAAGGCAAGACCATTTTCAAGATTCTGCCTGGTGGCATCGAGAGTAGAACCTCGGTGCCAGCCAAGTCCAAGGATCCAACCCGTGGAAAGGTAGGATCTCCAGAGGACATGGTTAGCGCAGGTAAGCCTGAAGACAGCTCGAAGAACACAGGAGCATCCGGAAGCTTTCCGCAGGGAAAGGCACCGGCAAAGAGAAGGATTCGAGCCAAGGGAAGCTTTCCACAGGGAAAGGCACCCGAGGAACCGGCTCCTCCTCCTCTTGCTCCTGAGGATGATCCGGATCTTCAAGAGTACGAACCTTCCGAACCGGGGGATGCAGATTTGCTTCCTCCGAGTCCTCCGAAGGCCCCAGAGCCACAGTCGCTAGAACCTAGGAGGATCGCGCTTCCGTTGCCAGGCCACGAGGTCTCAAGGGCTTCTCCGCAGTATCAGCGCATGTTGGAAAAGCTGAACAATGATGTTGAGCTTTACAAGTTGCATGTGAAGCATTACCACATGAGTCCTGCTCAGTTTCGACGCAGGACCAGCATGCTTGGTCTGCCAGGAGAGATCTATGACAAGTACGACCGCATTGTCAAAGGCTGTCGTGTTTGCAGCACCTCGGTGCCTACGCCTCCGCGAGCCAGAATCGCAGGGTTAAGAGCATCATCCTTCGGTGATCTCATTTTTGTTG